TWWWMCYTTTTTTTTTTTAAATGTGGTGCCAAGACTCTAACCCAGTGCCTCACATGTTCTAGGCAAGTACTCTACCACTGAGCTACATCCCCAGCCCACATYTGATTTWTATTTACTTATTTTTGACGTTGGTTAAGCCTCAAGAGATAAAAAAAATTGTTGTGATATTGGAGATATAGAGACTAGGAGGGAAGAAGAAAAAAAATGATTACATGTTTTCCAATTTAAAAAAAGTTTTACTGAAGCAGCCTCAAAATCCTGGGAAAAACTTGGGCATCCTTTTTCTCTCTTTGTATTCTCCTTTTCTTCCTGTTCTTTGTCCATCCTGGATCTGTCAAGGGATTCTCAGCACATGGTGTGGCTATGACAGATGGGCAGTAAATAATCTGCTGCTGTCTTTCAGTTTCAGGCGATCATTGTGACAGTGAAGGGGTTAAAACTGTCAACACCTATCAGAGCTTGCAGATAATTAGTGTAATATAAACCCGAGAACCTTGATGCTGATGACCACACAGCAAATGAATTCTACTAGTTTCCTGCTTTGTCAGAAATCCTTATTAATTTCTTTCTGACTTGTGTTACAGCTATGCTTTTTAAATGCCTGTGTGAAAAAATTATTGTTTATGCATATAAATGATAATGATTAAAGATGATTGTGAATCTTCCTTATCACAGAAGATGCATTTTGAATTAGCACTTGCAGATACAAGTTGAATAGATAAGTACCCTTTGGCACTTGAACATGAGATGGGTAGCCTTTACACTCAGGGAGGGTGTGACTGTTGACTTTATTATTAAGGATGCAACGTGTAGTATTGAGTGATGTAGGAATGCAAACAATTACAAAGTACACTTTAATCATACATTCTTTTTTATATAAAAAAGAAGTAGACTTTTAAAAATAAAACAGATTTAGGCTGGGGTTGTGGCTTAGAGGTRGAGCACTCACCTAGAGCATGCAARGCCCTGGGTTCGAACCTCAGCACCATATAAAAATAAATAAATAAAACAAAGGTGTATAAAAAAACAGATTTGAAAAGAATAAAATCCATTCTTCATTTATTATCTTGAAAGAAAAACTTGCTACATAAAAAATCAGAGATTCTCAAAGCTTTTTTTTTTTTTTTCCCCAAAGTCCACCTRGTAACCCAAGAGGAACAAATATGGCTTAAAAACAGGAGCAGGAATCCCTGATGGACTAGGGGAAGAACGGGTAAAGGAGAACTTCAGTAACCYAGATGTGTTCAAATCCGCAGGTCCCCATGGCTGGCATCCTAGAGTACTTAATGAATTGGCCGAAGTCGTCACAGAACCGCTAGATATCATTTTTGAGAACTCGTGGAGGACTGATGAGGTGCCTGAAGACTGGAAAAGGGCATATTTAGAATCTTCTTTCAAAAAGGGAAATGGATGGTGACCCTGGATATACTCATCAGCTTAACTTTTTGCTTGGAAAAATTCTGGAATAATCAACTTAGGAAACTGGGTAACTGACTTTTAAGAGCCAGAAATAAGGTAGTGAAATATCACAGATAAATTACTGAGTTCATTTTTTTAAAAGGCCACACCAGCATGAGACACAGTCTTACGCACACACTGGGATCTTCCCCTCCATTCTGTCAATTCTTCATAAAAACAGATGATGTTAGTTAAGGCATTTGGGTAAAAATTATTTTAAGTGTAATACAAAAAGTAGGTTTCTAATCATAACCATTAATTATATCACTTCTAACTTTAATCTTAAACAATAGGCTTAATTTGATATGTTAACATACACCTTCTTTCACTTCTTGTASGACCCTCTTTTCACTAAGTTGTGATACTTCATAATTCTATATAGAATAGATTGGTGAAGGAATTCTTATTTTAAGGTGCTTTACAGTTATTTAATAAGTACAGACATAAAGCAAGTGAATTAAGGAACATAACCAAGGGAAGACAATTTCTTCTGACTTCTCTTTTTAAATCTGTTCTGGCTGAGGTTAGATATTCAGATTAAAAAGGGTGTCATGCTCTGACATATATCGAGCAAGTGCCAGTTGTTTTGCTTCTGGGGCCCCTGAATTGCAGTGTCTTGGCCCACCTCCCTCCATGGGCCTGCAGGTCTGGGGACAGAGAGAAGGCAGTGGGCACRAACAGCCCTGAAGGAGAGGAGGTTGAGGATCAGGGAGGAAATTAAGGTGAAGCTGGAGTTTTTATGATTCCTATTGTTTTTTTTTTTTTTCCCTTTGGGTGTTGGTAGTTTTATTTTCTACTTAGAAAATGCAAGCTTGTTGATGGGACCAAAACTTAGTCAAAAGGAGGCTGTGGAAGGAGATAGAGTAGTGGCTGGGAACTGTCAAGATCCCCTAAGCAGTACCGTGTTCTTGCACTGTGTGGAAGTATGCAAGAGAGATAAGTTTACATCAACATAGGACAAGAATAGGAAACTCTCGGAGGAAAAGAGATTTAATGTTCATCTCCTGGAGCATACTGATCCCCAGGAATAGATAGATAATTAAGAAGGGATTAGGTCTCCAAGGACACTCCTAACACAATACTATTTTTTTTTAAAAAAATATAAGGTCTAAATAATTCAGCTACTTTTAGAGATTAATTTAGATACTAAGTAAAGGATGTCTCACTCTTAAATACAAATAAAAGGATATTCTAAAAGTGTGTGTAGGTTGCCCTTTAAACTACATCCAGCTGTGGTTTTTGTAAGGATTATATACCAGTCAGCCTTTCATCAATTTTTGAAGTAGAGTCTTTAAAATTTTCAAGCTGGGTTTAATTAAGGGGTGGGGAGTCTATATTGATTATTGATATAATTTATTGTGATAGTAAATGGCTTCCTGTTTCAGACCTCATTTCCAGGTGCAGCATCTGTGGCAGATTTATTTCATAGATGTGTATTTGCATGTAGCTCTTGGACTGTGGCTGCACAGGACTTGATTTCTGAAACGTCTATTATTTTCACTATGGGCATTATGATGCAGTCCACTACAACCACCCAAATCAAAAAAGGCTCTTGGTCATTTCAAGTTTGATTTTTTTTATTTGAGTAATGACTGACTTCAATTATTTTGCCAAAGTTAAATCCTTTCTCTGAGTCTGCTGTTGAAATTTGAAAATATTTAATACTCTACCTAAATTAAGAGTCACAGTTTAGAACCATGAAATAGCCAAGAGATTTTAAAGACTTCTTAGTTAAAGCTATAGGAAGAAAATTTTTAAATAATAARAGAAATATTGAGGGAAGYCTTCTTTGCATTAAATAATATGAAGTCTAATATAAGAGAAAGGAATTATTCTTACCAAGAATGGTATCTGGAGATGATTATTCTTAAGATGAATTCAAGTTTTTTATTCAGTTTATTTAAACACTAATGATAATTTTGAGTTTTGAATGTAAAGGAAGTAGCAATTCACTAAGGAGAAAATATATTATCAAGACTAAAGGGCAATCTTGATTTATATTTCCTATAACACCAAGAGAGATTTAAGTAAAGACTGTTTTTATCACATTGAGGAATTTGGAGGATTGTAACACATTGTTTTTTTCGGTTCATCTTAAAATTTGAGGGGTATGAAAGATTTTATTCACATAAAAGATTTCTTGGCATAGGGACACATACATTTAAGGGCTCTTTCCTCACCAGAGGGAGAGCTGAGCCAACAATCTTGGGAAAACTGGATGTGTAGCAACAAAAGTAGTTTCTCCATTCAGAGAACTCAGGCATTTTCTTGGTCCAGAGAAATCTCCTGCATGTTGCTGCTATGACGTGAACCCAGGAGGCATTGAGTTTTCACTTTGGAGTTACTCAGATCTCAGTTCAGATTCTAGAGTTTTCCTAATGGTGTTTTCCCATGGTGAACCTGTTAAGAGCATAAGCTGTAGTGTAGCTTGGGAAAGGATCTTGAGTGGTGAGGATATTACGAAAGCTTCTTTTCCCTTGTTCATAAAATGGGAGAAATAAATACAGTGCCTCCTACAGTTCTTAAGAGGCTCAAGACCTCTACGGCTTATAACCCACTTGTAGTTCTTGGTCCAGGATTGGCATGAAATAGGTGCCGATTCCTGTCTCCCTTTCCTTCCKGACTTTCTGTAATTTCCTCTTCTGTGGAACAGATTACTTTAAAACTGAGTAGAGAACTCAAGTGTAAATTGACATGCTCATCTGCTGCTGTAGCCCACAGCATAAAGACCTCCTTTGCTTTCTTTTTTGGAGACATGAAAAAAGACTACTGTGTTTGCTCATGGTAGGAGTTCAGTAAATGTTTAGTGATTGAATGAAAAGAATATGATGTTTAAAAATCAATCCTCAGATTCAMAAAGGCCAGCACTTTCAATTCTGGGGAAATAATCACATAGACACATGAAGAGCTTTCATTACCTCTATGTTTCTTGGAGCATCTTCAGGTTTAAAAATTTGGAGTGTAAATAAATGAGTGGCAGATGTGCAGTTTCCAGTTTCCTCTGATTTAATGACTGGGGTTTATRAAGGAGGAGTGCAAATGGGCATCGCCCCCAAAGCTTCTTCTGGGATGCACCCAGCCAAGAGATAAGGCTGATAATGGTGGATCAGCAAACCCTTCTCTATGGGAAGAGAAACCAGCTCAACCAGGGACTGGGAACTACCTGTCTGAGGACTGAGATYGGCATGTCTGAATTTTTCTGTTACAAGGCTGAGTGCTGTAARTGGATCCCTTGTATAAGAGACTGAAGAAGAACAAAAAGAGATTTAAGATAATAAAGTTCTTAGACAAAATCTTTGACTTAAATAATCCCTTACATGTAATAATGAGGTATCAAAATATGTCCAGGGAGCTRGAAGATTTCAAAATTTCAAAGTAAATAAGTGATAAAGAGTAGAATATTTTACCCAGGGACATGTGAGAAATGAGTGCGAACCTAATCCTAAATGACCAATTCTCAATTGCAACCAAGTGCCAGGTATCAGAAAATTCTTAAATAAGATTAACTGATGATAACTTAGAAAAAAACTGCATAAGTTCACACATAGATGCTTTACTAAATAAAAAAAAATATTCAGAGAAAATCAAATTAAGCTTTTTTTTTAGAATTTTCAAATTTTATTCTGATCTTTCCCAATTACATATCCCCACATCAGACATTTACACTATTTGATTCTTTGATTTAAAACTCCTTTGTAGCTTTACCTTATTAATCTCTAATAAAATAAAATCAAATAATTTTCTAGTCCATGATTAGAAATATTTCTATATCACTCTTTTGGATGTTTCCATAAAAGGCAAAAGGGGCAAAGATGTAGTTTAGAAAAATGAACAGCCCAACTTTCTTTTTTTACTTATTGAATGAAAGTAAAACAGGAAAGTGATGTTTAAGTAGTTTAAATTCTAGAGATGTTTTATTTTTCATTATTTTTGTTAAAAGATACCTTTTTAGAGGAAAACAAGTAGTTAAAATCTCCACATTGAGAACTGGTGGTTGGTTTTTGTTTTATAGTTTTGCCCCCAGAATTTCTTCCACTGTACCAAAAGGAAATAAGGCAACTTTTAAACATTAATATGGAAAATGTCTTCTATAGATTATATTCAGTATCCTGCCCTTTTTTAGATGAATTTTTCCTTATTATTCTACAAATGAAATGCTGTGTGGACAATCTCAAGGACAAACTGGTATATTGAGGGAGAAGACAAATGTCAGACGTTTTACTGTTTATCACAGTTGTGGCCCTGTTTCCTAAGCTTAAGAATAGATTCTGAGATGCAGTTTGGGTTACTAAAGCCATTATTCATTGAAGAGTTCTGGCTATACAGAAGTATCTGCGGGGCCGGAACAATCAACATGTGTATATCTAAGTAGCCAAGCACAGATTTGTTCTAAYTGAAAGCTACCATTTGGTTTTGTAAACACACTTTTTTCTTCCCCTTTTCAGTTACATTTTTTTAAAGGGCTATATGTGAAGACTCCATGAGAAGCCTAATTGGAACATCGTTATGAACCATGTAATGTAACCCGCACAGCTCTGTCATTTGCAAACATATGTCTACTTTTCATTAAATGTTATGGCTGCACAGCAGTTCTGCCTTGGCCTCTTTTGTGATCATTCTGCATTTTGATGAATGTGATCGTTTTTGCATCGTTTAAATTGACAATGTATAAATGTTCATGGTATTACAGTATTATGGTCAGCATGGGAAATCAGAGCTCTAACTGGAAAGAAAGGAAAATGCAAGTCTCCACACACTGCATGCAGAATTCAGATAAGACCATCATACATATTGGGATGCTTTTGTCCTGTTGTGTGTGCTTCCTGTGGCCTTCTCTTGTGTGATTTTCTGCCGTCAGTGGCTCAGGCAGTGGGAGGTGGGGTAGTGCGGTATATAGAGAGGTAGGAGGGAGCTTGTGTGTGATCATGTGATTCTGCTGTGGCTTCTGCAGCACAGATTCCGCATCAGCTGAACAGATAAGCAGTATCTCAGCAGTGGTTAAAACCAGTCTTGGATTCAGATATCAACGTAACTGCATTCTGGTTTGAGAGCCTTGAAAAAATGGAATAATGATTGTACTTGATCAGCATACTAACTAGCCCAAAGACATTTATCTGAAGAAGTTTGCAACAGTGCTTTGGGTTATATATAAATGTCATGAT